TAATATATACATATACATATATACATATATATATATATATATATATATATATATATGTATACTTATATATATCTCAAGCGAATATAATGTGACCTACCAAATAATATGTTGCCTTGGGAGCGGACGCATATCTGGCTATTGGCGTTTTTGCGCACCATTGTGCTGATGCCAGTGACTTTGTCCTGAGCATATGGCTCCCATTCACTAGCGTCATCCACATGTGAGATGAACTGCGTGATGGTCTCCTGAGAATGTGCAGTGACGATTGAGTGAGTATGCGTTGAAGGTGTGTGATGCTATAGCGTGCAGTGATACGTATATATCTTGTTGGGGCTGGGTGGTATATTAAAAGTCCCATGACTAATTGTTCATACAGGTCTTATGACTAATTGTTTATACAAGTCACATGACCAATTGTTTATTCAAGTCATATAACTAATTGTTCATACAAGTCCTATGACTAATTGTTCATACAAGTCTTAGGACTAATTGTTCATACAAGTCTTAGGACTAATTGTTTATACAAGTCATAGGACCAATTGTTCATACGTCATATGACCAATTATTCATACAAGTCATATGACCAATTGTTTATACGAGTCTTATAACTAATTGTTTATACAAGTCTTATGGCTAATTGTTTATACAAGTCTCATGACTAAATGTTTATACAAGTCTTATGACTAATTGTCCTCGAGACTACTGATACACCAAGCGAGTTTTTAAGTCATCTACGGCATGTCTCTGCTTTGTATACATCTTTTCAGGCGCGTACATTGTATACGAACACGTGGTTTTTAGGGTTTCATTAAACCCTAAACCCTAAAAAAGCGTGTGTCACTCCGGTTAAAGAAAACCAAAACCCTACTTTGCTGGTGCCATGCGTCTGAGTGTGAGTGTGGGTGTGCGATGGGCACGCGTATGTGATGTTATTGTAACATACGGCACACTCTAACTTCTGGCCTGGACGGATACGAACGCACATGAACATAAGTGGCACAACAACAATACAGGCAAGTACACCAGATACCACACGTACAATTAATAGTCACTCAAGAGTGTATATATATATAAACCAACTGACACTAACTTAGGCGTACATATACACATAGGCACACATATCAAACCATAAAACCCTAAACGCACATAAGCACCAGATAACCATGGCAACCACAGCGAATCGTACCGATCACTTACATCTGAGAAGTCCATGAACTTCTGGCGCTGCTCGTCGCTGCTGCAGACATTGGCCTTAATCTTTGCGTCAAAGGTCGACTTCTCTGGGGCAAAGTAGCTGTGCACACGCAGTGACAGCGAATGAGCACACATACCAAAGGTGTCAATGTGTCATACGGAATGACACGCCATGCGACACTAAGAATGTTTCCGAAAAGTGTCATGGGAGTGTCAGTGGTAGGTACTGTCAATGGGTATTTACGACGTTGATTTGATATATAGGGTTTTAAATCAGACATAGATATATATATATATATATATATATATATGATATTAACAACAAACATGAAGCATATATTCACACGCACCTGTTGGTAATAAACTTGCTGAGCTGAGTCCTTCTGTAAGGTGTTGGCTGCAGTAGTCCTCGCACCAGCATCTCTACTTCTTCACTCACTTTTTCCGGTAGTTCTAACTGCTAACAGTCAGTTAACGTGTACGAATGCAGAAGTGTATGTATTTTAACGTGTATGAATGTAAAAATTATATGTATGTCAACATGTATGGATGCAGAAGTGGATGTATCTTAAGTGTCCCATGGACCCAAGAGCGAGTACATGTGTGTACATGTACACATGCATAGGTGCAGCACAAGTGTAGGAACAAGTGTAGGAACAAGTGTAGGAACAAGTGTAGGTATAAGTGTAGGTACAAATGTAGGTACAAGTGTAGGTACAAGTGTAGGTATGTGACTGGTCAGTGATGTAGACGACGGAACAAAAGTGAAAAGTCATGTCATCAGTAAACTTACCTACTACCGCCAGGGCGATACACATAGTAAGAAGTGTGTGGAATAAAAACCTTAAACCCTAAACCCTAAATCACCAAAGTGCTTTTAGAGATTGTGGTGGAGTGGTGGCGGCTAGCGAGGTGAAGGACAGGAATGACGTAAACAGAGGCATCTGCTATATATAGCTCACACATCACACACTTGTAGCTGTATTCGTATACGTATACGGCATGACTGTATACACAAACATCATAGGCATATAACTAAATACGTACACATCATACCCGTATACACATACATCATAGACATATCTAAATGCATACACATCTTAACTATATACTCATACACCATAGACTTATATCTAAATGTATATACATCGAAACTACATACTCATACACCATAGACATATATCTAAATGCGTATACATCTTAACTATACAACATCGTAGACGTGTAGATACATACATATACCCCATATCTATTCACACACAGGAGACCACACCGAAACAGCCTTCCAGCATGGTCAATCACACTGCTGCCACATACTACAGGCACACTCGCGCATTCTATTTGTGTAACGTTTAAGGTTCCAGGGTTTAAAGTTAAACTCTGAAACCTGTCCTTCAGCACATACATCAGAGTCTCTGATTCGGTCCAAAAACTCGAAGATGTCCTCGCCCTCGTTCTTAAAGGGCAGTGCTCCAAACAGCATGTAGTAGTACGTCACTCCCAACGACCACACATCCACAGGCTGCCCCCTATACGACTGAGATGACACACAACAGGTGTAGTGTGGGTGCAGGGGAGATGTTTGAGGTACAGTTAGTTGTGTATGAAGCACTACATAGCATTGGGGATAGGTGTGGAAGTACCGAACAGATGTGGTGTGAGCTAGGCAGCCCAGACGAAAAGACTCGGAGAAGGATGCAGAAGGTGAAGTGTATGGTTAGAAGTGAGGGATAGCACAACTAAACGAACACACAGACACCACACAAGAACCAGCAACACCATATGCACCTGCAAAGAAGGACAATACAATACACTGAGATGGACTATGTAATCTAATGGGCAGCATAGAAGGAACGCGATATGGTGATGCATACAAGTCCGACGCTATCCATATATATATATATATATATATATATATATATATAATAAACACACACACACACACATATATATATATATATATATAATAATAACACACACATATATATATATATATATATATATATATATATATATATATATATAACTAACAACACACACACA